TCTATCTATCTATCTATCTATCTATCTGTCTGTCTGTCTGTCTGTCTGTCTGTCTGTCTGTCTGTCTGTCTGTCGGTCGGTCGGTCGGTCCAATTTTTAAAAAGATGAACGGCCTGCAGCAGAAATCGAATCCTAGTACTCAGGAATCGTGTTAAATAAAAAGGCCGTAGAAATATTAAATGTGTCATAAACAAACTAAAAATGTTACGAATACTTGGGACTGCCAGAAAAACTAACAATGATTGCCTGGAAATGGCAAATGAAAGTAGAACATTGTATACAATAAAGAGAGATGACGAGACAGACAATTTATTGATTCGCACTCGTAGAAAAAAAAAAGAACAAAGATAGAAGGTTCGCATTAGACAACATAACAATCGAAAGCTTTTTCTTCTTCTTCTTCTTCTTCTTCTTCTTCTTCTTCCTCTTCCTCTTCCTCTTTTCTTCTTCTTCTTCTTCTTCTTCTTCTTCTTCTTCTTCTTCTTCTTCTTCTTCTTCTTCTTTTTTTTCTGCTTCTGCTTCTTCTGCTTCTTTTTCTTCCACTTCTTCTGCTTCGATTCTTCTGTCAGAAAACCTATACCAGGAGGCCGGTAACCTTTATGAAAGCTGGGGTGTAGTCCATATCGTCGTGTGTACCATTCAGTTTTGTCTTCATTGTGGTTGGAACATGCCAGATTGTGTCTCAGTTGTCAGCATACAGTTGACAGTGTTGGGGCAAATGCTCAGCATTTTCGGGTGCCACTATAGATACCATGCCGGGAATCGAACCGGTCACCTTCATATGGCGTTTGCGCTTCGCTATAGACACACGTGTACTAAGACCATGGTTAGCTAGGCACCCCAGAATAGGTGTCTTCATTGGTCATGTCTGTCGCACAGCTTGAAATCCACAACTATGGAATACTGACATCAAACGCCACGGAATTTTATTATTGAATTTGAATGTTGAATTAGGAATCGATAACACAGCACTCGGGACACCCCTATAAGCGCTCCGTCCCGGTCTTCAGCAGCAAGCGAAGAAATTTAATTTTGATGGTACCAGTGTAACTTTCTGATTGTATATCCGTCTCGCCTTCCCCCTGAGTGTCGAGCGTCGGCCAGATCATCTAATAACTGCTCGCAGTGCCAATCTCCTCAGACCGTAATGATCTATCTGTGTCTCGGCACTGTTCACTCGCTCCCAAAGGACCCTAACAACATCCAGCTTGTCATACATCAGCTCACCACCAAATGGCGCAGAACCGGCCAGTCTCTTTTACTGCTCATTTCCCAACACACCGGAATAACCTAAAAAAAATTTCCAAAGAATGCAACTATCCGGAACCTTTGAACTGATGCTTGCCACTCTGAACGGAGCATGCCTGTCTCTACCTACCTCAACCTGCACGTAATGTCACCAGACATTCAGTGGACATATCCACGCTTCGTTAAGTACACATCTGATACTGTTAGTAACATCTTATACATAATATCGACACCAGGAAACAACGAAACATGCAGATAACGGATAAACTGACGAAAACCCGAAAAAGTTCGGTTTTAAATCAAAATTGTCAATGATCTCTCTTAGCAGTTTAAGGAGTGGTTGTGCTTTGTCTGAACGACTAGATTTTAAAAAGGAAAAAGAAGCGCAAGAAGGCTTGAGCTATCTTCCTCCGGCGCTAAAGTGAAAACCTTAACGAGAGACAATATCAGTTTGGTTCATTTTACTTTAATTTCGACACCAGCCCCGCGGCATTTCGCTTGAATATATAGCAAGGTTTTTCGTCTGTGTTTTTACCCGCTTCATACAGAGAAATGATGGCCTCACAGGAAGGAAAGTAGAAATATTTCAAAAGAAAAGCAAAGCACACTAACACATACGATGCCATCTTTTCGTCGGGAGTATGAAATTTTATATCGATGTGTCCCTTGGGCATTTCACCGCATCGTCTTGTTTCATTCTCCTAAATTGAGCAAGCCCAAACAGAGCGTGTATGTTCGTGTTGTGCGGCTGTGTGTGTTTGTGTGCGCAATTTTACCCTTCAGCCTTTATAATATAGAAGTATTGTATTGATCTTGTAAGTTTATGCTTTTCCACCCAGAGGCGATTTCACGTCATATTCTGCACACGGCCAAAGACGTTGAGCGGTAAGGATAGGCTGCTTCTCCCCTCGCATTGAATGGACCAAAGAAAGGATATTTCTGTTTTAGGAGTAACGTGTCTGGCATTTTCTGGAGTTTATCTGCCTAGTTTTAAAAATGAATCACAGGCGATCAGAAGATTCATCATCATTATCGTCGTCATCATCATCATCACTTGCCCTGCCGACTGGCGTAGGCGTTCATGCCATCGTAAGACGATTGGTGGGAAAATTATATTGTGCAGCTGTAGTAATGTGATTTTATAAAAGAATAACGAGAGCACTTTATAGAAGAATAATGAGAGCACTTTATTGAAAAATAATGAGAGCACTTTTTTGGAGAATAATGAGAGCACAGTAACGTTTACAAAATGTAACGAATGTGTCTTGAGATAAATTAATGAAAAATAATTGACAATACAAGAGATCGGCAGCTGTGGACTGACCATCACTGACCAGCGTTACACGGCCTGGATTTGGAGAAGCTGCCATTCTTCTTCTTCTTTTTCTTCTTCTTCTTCTTCTTCTTCTTCTTCTTCTTCTTCTTCTTCTTCTTCTTCTTCTTCTTCTTCTTCTTCTTCCTTCAGTTTTCCTTCTGTCTTCTTTCTTTTTCCTTCTTTTTCTTCCTCCCCCTCTTCCTTCTCCTCCTTTCTCCCCTCCCGCTCATTCTCCTCCTCCTTATTTCCTCTTATCAGGCATGGTATATCAGTGGCCCAATTACGTCAAAGTCCGGTTACCGCGTCTTCAATGCAGTAGTCACACAATGTTTAAAAAAAAAGTAAAGGACCCTTTTCCACGCCTTTAGACCTATATTTTTATAGACCAATCGGCACATGATAGGTGATGTGGTCAGCATCACGCCGGCCGCCTTTACTTCCCGGGACTGCACCCGGTACCCACTCAAGGCTGGGTCCACCTGAGAGCCAAGGTCATTTTTGAAAAAGTCCGGCTCCGCCAGGGAGCGAACCCACGACCTCCCGATCCGCGGCGAGCGTCTAGCCGCTCGGTCACGGCGACTCCCACACAATGTTAACTCAACATTTTATTCTCCTGTCTGGCAATTAAGATTTCCGTGTTTCCAAATCTTGTTTGATATACAATGCTCTGAACTATCCGTGTGGGTTCTGGGGCCTTATTGTGCGGAAAACAAGAACAGACCGACTTCCTTCACAGAGAATGCTGGCCCTACGCCCAACTCCTCCTCTCCTTTATGATCCGGGGTTGGGAACGCATTGGCAGTCTTTAGGGCAGAGATGTATTTTACTTTAATCTTTGAAGTTTGTGTCTTGGCCAATTATGTAGTCTGTGTCTATTTTTCTGTTCCACCGAGAAGTGCGTGTGATATCTTTTTCTTTTTTGTGTTCACCGGCTGAAAACTGCGACAGAAAGTTCTGGTTGTTTGTCCACCTCTGGACTTCAGTCTTTCTACAGAACCTGAGCGATGCGTGCACATCCGTTTAACAAATCTGAATTAATTGTATGCAAACTGTTGGTTCCTTGTGCCAAAGGCGGATGCACTCTGACTTCGAAGAAAGCCCCCAGTTATTTGACTTTTACGACATGCTTGCTGAGGAGGCAGTGGGTCTATTCTTGTTTTCCCTACAATGGGGCCCTGGAACCCATACAAGGAGTATTTGATATAGGATAATGGTCTTCCTCCTCCTTCATTTGCCCCAAATTCAGGGGCTTCTTTCTGGAGGCTTGACTGTCCTGCAATTATAAAATATCCACCTGGATGGCTAGTCAACACTGCTAAGTCCAGATATTCCATTCAACCTTTAAAGAAATTAGAATTGGGGCACCCCCATGCTAGTGTAACCTGCAGTTCTATGCATGTATAAGGGCCTTTTTCAACCCCTTCAGGCGTATTGGGCATATAGGACTAGACCTATATTTTTTAGACCAGTTTGGTACTTGAACGGTGAATGGTAAACACCACACTGGCCACTTCTGCTTCCCAGGAATTTACATGGTACCCATTTAAATATGGAATGACCTTTGACCTGGCAGCCAAGGTAATTTTTTAAGGGAAAAAAAAAAGTCCAGCACAGTTTGAATCTGAACCCGCGAGCTTCGGATCCGCAGGTGAGCATCTGGCTACTATACCAAAATTCTTAGAGGATTTATATGCAGTAAATATTTATTAAATTAAAGAATATTACTATCTACAGGTTTCCAGAGTCCAAACTGGCACGTATGTTCAATGGAAGCATCCCTATAGTCTTGGACACGCTAAAACAGCATTACTTCATAGACAGAGATGGGAAGCTGTTCCGCTACATCCTCAACTACCTGAGGACACAAAGACTTGTCGTGCCCACCGAGTTTGATGAGTATGAACAGCTCTATGAGGAAGCCAGGTGACTATTTTTCTTTCCCCTTCCCCATCCCCCTAATTTCCCCAACCTCCAAATTTGCATTTGTCAGATCAACATCTCAAAGATGACAATCAGACAGCTACAAATCCCAGAAAACCACTTTCAAAAGTAAAGCCGAAAAATATTGAGGCACCACAAAGTGGTTACGAGGTTAGCTGTAGTCCAGTGTTAGTGGGTTGTGACCCAGGTGACCATATCGTCTGGTTAGAGTTTTTTAATTGTACGAGGGAAGCTAATTCTGAAAAGGGAAACAACTATAATTAGGGCTCTACGAAAAAGTGACGTCGACCACATCGCCCACCCAGTGCCAGTTGATCTATAAAAATATGAGTCTATAATCATATGCATGATGTGTCACTGACATACAATGGCCTTGTCGTGGTGCTATGGCTTGTGTGTTCTAATGATTCTCATTAGTTAGCGTCCTTTGGATGTTTTCTCTAGGTCTTGCTGGTGTGTTGGGAAACGAGCAGGCAGAAATTTTTGTGAGATACTGTGGATGTCACCTACCCAGTCATCTCCTTGTGAGGTGCAATTTTTTGTTATTTGAAGTCCTACCCTGGCTCTTGCCAGGGACCGCAATATAGCCTGGCCATAAATATGGTCTAATGGCTGAACGTGGTTTCTGGGACCTCTCACAGGTGATCCTCATCCACATGGTGGCACTTTGTATCATTGGGTGTTTATCGCTTGTGTGATGTCCTGTTGGGGTAAAAGAAGATTGATAGAGATAGATACTGTGAGGGCCCTTTGAAAATAAATGAACAGTTTGGAGGCACAAATAGATCATTACGGTCAGAGGAGAATGGCGCTGCGGGGAATTGCCAGAGGTTCTGGCCGATGATCAACACTCAAGGAAAAGGCGAGGTGGATGTACAGTGAGACAGTTACTGGTACCATTGAAGCCTTCGTTTGCTGTTTAATATGGGAACTGTTTAATATGGGAACGGGGCTCTTATGTGAGTGTCCCGAGTGCTGTGATGTTGATTCTTAATTCATTATTAAACATTCAATGATTCTCAAAGCATTCGTTCTAATAAGGGAAGAAATGTTTTGTTATTTCAAAGCGTCACTCCCGGCTGCCATCAGGGACCCTGTTATAAGCTAAAGGTTGAAGAGGGATTTAAGGACTTGTGCATGGGTGATTCTCATTTAAATGGTGACACTTTACGTCAGCGAATGTTAATTGCTTGTTGAACAGTCCTGGTCGCGTTAAACAGCAGTCTTTCATGCTGGAGGTGTTAAACATCGCTCATTCATGCTGGTGGTGTTAAACATCACTCACTCATGCTGGTGGTGTTAAAGATCACTCACTCATGCTGGTGGTGTTAAAGATCACTCACTCATGCTGGTAGTGTTAAAGATCACTCACTCATGCTGGTGGTGTTAAAGATCACTCACTCATGCTGGTGGTGTTAAAGATCACTCACTCATGCTGGTGGTGTTAAAGATCACTTACTCATGCTGGAATTGTTAAACATCACTCACTCATGCTGGAATTGTTAAACATCACTTACTCATGCTGGAATTGTTAAACATCACTCACTCATGCTGGTGGTGTTAAAGATCACTCACTCATGCTGGTGGTGTTAAAGATCACTCACTCATGCTGGTGGTGTTAAAGATCACTCACTCATGCTGGTGGTGTTAAAGATCACTCACTCATGCTGGTGGTGTTAAAGATCACTCACTCATGCTGGTGGTGTTAAAGATCACTCACTCATGCTGGTGGTGTTAAAGATCACTTACTCATGCTGGAATTGTTAAACATCACTCACTCATGCTGGAATTGTTAAACATCACTTACTCATGCTGGAATTGTTAAACATCACTCACTCATGCTGGTGGTGTTAAAGATCACTCACTCATGCTGGTAGTGTTAAAGATCACTCACTCATGCTGGTGGTGTTAAAGATCACTCACTCATGCTGGTGGTGTTAAAGATCACTCACTCATGCTGGTGGTGTTAAAGATCACTCACTCATGCTGGTGGTGTTAAAGATCACTCACTCATGCTGGTGGTGTTAAAGATCACTTACTCATGCTGGAATTGTTAAACATCACTCACTCATGCTGGTGGTGTTAAACATCACTCACTCATGCTGGAATTGTTAAACATCACTCACTCATGCTGGTGGTGTTAAAGATCACTCACTCATGCTGGTGGTGTTAAAGATCACTCACTCATGCTGGTGGTGTTAAAGATCACTCACTCATGCTGGTGGTGTTAAAGATCACTCACTCATGCAGGTGGTGTTAAAGATCACTCACTCATGCTGGTGGTGTTAAAGATCACTCACTCATGCTGGAATTGTTAAACATCACTCACTCATGCTGGTGGTGTTAAAGATCACTCACTCATGCTGGTGGTGTTAAAGATCACTCACTCATGCTGGTGGTGTTTAACATCACTCACTCATGCTGGTGGTGTTAAAGATCACTCACTCATGCTGGTGGTGTTAAAGATCACTCACTCATGCTGGTGGTGTTAAAGATCACTCACTCATGCTGGTGGTGTTAAACATCTCTCACTCATGCTGGCGGTGTTTAACATCACTCACTCATGCTGATGGGGTACTTCTACCCCGCACGTTCATTATGTCAGCCAGGTCTTTAGAAGAAGGGTCAGACTAAACTAGCACCTTGGTCCTCCAAGATGGGAAACGGACAAGGAGTTAAAAATCTGTCACTGTAGAAAACAATGATCATGTGAGAACATTACACTGGAGGAAAGAAGTAAAAAAAAAAACAAGACAACTGACAAAATGAAGGCTGTGAATCCAAGCTGAAAGAAAGTCCACAGCCTTACCATGGATCTGATTTCACATCAGAAAACACCTTTATTACGTCCTAATGAAGCCTGAAGAAAAAAATTCAATAGGAAGGAACATAAAGAAATGTAAGATGACATGGGTTACTATAAAAAGAAAAGCAGCAGACCGGCAGAAATAGAGATCACTTGTGAATGATTTATGTGTCAACAGCAACATGAAGAGGATATAGATAGATATTTAAACACTATATTTGGTAAGTTTCTCTTCATATAAATATATGACAGACAATGAGTAATACATTAGTAACAATACTGACAGTGTTTTAAAGTGGAGATTTTAATTCTTTCAAACTTAGACAGTTGTTATTTGTCCTTATTCAATCCAAAGCCAATGTAAAAAGAAAATGTTAACGTTTTTTTCCCTACCTTTAGGTGTATAGGGCATATAGGGCTAGACTTATATTTTTAGAGACCAATCAACACAAGATGGGTGATGTAGTCAGCATCATACCGGCCGCCTTTATTTTCCGGGACTGCACCCGCTACCCACTCAAGGCTGGGTCGACCTGGGAGTCAAGTTCATTTTTGAAAAATGTCTGGTTCTGCCAGGGAGCGAACCCACGGCCTTCCGATTTGCACGCAAGCGTCTAGCTGCTATGTTAAATATTAAATGTCTGAGTTTGAAGGAGTTCTTCTTCATCACAGCGTTTGCTGGCTGTAAACTCTGGCAGAAAGTTCTAGTTGTGGATCCACATCTGTACTTTGGTCTTATTCCAGGACGTGAGTTTCACCTGCAGATTCTTTTCACTTATCTGGGTCTCCTTGTCCTTGGCGTTCACCAGCTGTAAACCCCAATGGAAAATTATAGTTGTTCATCCATCTCTGGACTTTAGACTTCTTCCAGAAGTTTAGCATTGCATGCACATCCATTTTACAGATCTGTATACAGACTGTTGGTTCCTTGTCTTTCAGGTTGATGCACTCTGACTTTGAAGGAAATCCCTAATTAGTGGACTCTTACAACATGCCGTTTGGGGAGGCAGTGGGTCTATTCTAGTTTTTCCCACAATAATTCCACAGAACCCACACAGGGTTTCTAGTTTATTTGAATGTTGATAGTTGGTTGGTTCCTCGCATCTCAGGCAGACATATTTTATCTTAGAAGGAAACATCCCTGATTATACCTTTTTTGCTCCCCAATGTTGGTTCTGGGACCCCATTATGGGGAAAACAAGAACAGACCCACTGCCCTCCAATAAGCATGTCGTAGGAGTCGACTAAATGGGGACTTCCTTTGAAGTCAGAGTGCATCATCTGCTCGAGAGACAAGGAACAACCAACTGTACACAAATAAGCCAGTAAAACGGATGTACACAAAGGCCCTGACACGAAGCCAAAATCCAAATTGATGAACAACTGGGAATTTCCACTGAAGCTTACAGCTGGTGAACAAATAAGAGGAAGAAGACCTCTTTTACTACATGCTTGCTGGGGTAAGGTGGATGGGGGAGGGTGAGGGTGTTGGTGGGGGGTGGGGGGGGGGTGTCTATTCCCCCTCTTCAAACAGGGTTCTGAAACCCACACATAAAATTATAAGATCCAATTCCTGTATGTGTGTGTATCATTGTGTTTCAGCATAGATTGACAAGGGATGTCAACTTCTGTAAAAGAAAGTTAAAAAGATGTCTAAATGTTTGAACTTCTTCTTCTTCTTCTTCTTCTTCTCTTCTACCTTGTACCTCATCGAAGTGTTAGGGGGAGATGTAATGTTCATTGATGAGCTCTGTCAAGAGCACTATTAAGACTGATGTTCATTTCTGTAAGGCTTTTCTTAATTCCATCACTCCATATTTTCCGAGGTCTTCCACTCGCTCTATACCCATTGTAATGTTTTAGTGTGGCTCGCTGCGGCAGATAGTATCAGGGCATTCTTGTTAGGTGTCCAAACCACTTCATTTGTTGTTCTTTGATGACCTGTAAGACTGGCTTTATTCTTAGCATTCGTCTGATTTCATGATTTCCTATTCTGTCTTTCCTTGAAACTCATGCAGCTCGTCTAAGGCATTTCATCTCTGTTGTCACAATTTTACATTCATTGGAGGATGTAAGTGTCCATGTTTGGCATTGATAGCATAGTGTTGGCCAAAAAATATTTCTGTTAAGATTCACTTTAGTACTCTGAGGTATCTGCTGGTTTGAATTTGCTGTGCTTTAATACAAAATGTAGCAATTATTACAGGCAATAATCTTCTAATAAAGAATGCTAACCCATTTTTATATTGTATTTTCTTCACAGATATTATGAGCTAGCCGGAATGCTCAAAGACCTTGAAAGCATTAAAAAAGCCAAGGATATTACCAAAACTGTGCATGAGATAAAGATAGAAAGAGGTACCAACCAGGAATTCATTGACTGTATAGCTGTGAGCATTAGCCCCGATCTTGGAGAGAGAATCTGTCTTAGTGCTGAGAGACCTCTTATCGAGGAGATTTTCCCTGAACTGTGTACAGCTTTGATGGACACCAGAAACTCTGGCTGGCATCTGGATAACCACTACGTCATCCGGTTTCCACTCAATGGCTTCTGTAAGCTCAACTCCATTCAAGTCATGCAGAGACTCTTTAACCATTCCTTTCTGATTGCTGCCTCCACCGGAGGTGGGGTTGAGGGCCAGCAGTTTAGTGAATATTTGTTTACAAGAAGTTGCAAATCACTTCATTGAAATATTGCAATGCAGGGGAGATTTTTTAGGAGTTGAGAGCTGGTATGTTGGTGAATATTTGTTTACAAAAAATTGCAAACCACTTCACCGAAATATTACAATACAGAGGAAAATTATTTAGTGAAAATTTGGAGTTGATAGCCAGTATGTCGGTGAATATTTGTTTGAAATTGCAAATCGCTTCACCGAAATATTACAATACAGAGGACAATTATTTGGAGTTGATAGCTAGTATGTTGGTGAATATTTGTTTACCAGAAGTTGCAAATCACTTCATTGAAATATTGCAATGCAGGGGAGATTTTTTTAGGAGTTGAGAGCTGGTATGTCGGTGAATATTTGTTTACAAAAAATTGCAAACCACTTCACCGAAATATTACAATACAGAGGAAAATTATTTAGTGAAAATTTGGAGTTGATAGCCAGTATGTCGGTGAATATTTGTTTGAAATTGCAAATCGCTTCACCGAAATATTACAATACAGAGGACAATTATTTGGAGTTGATAGCTAGTATGTTGGTGAATATTTGTTTACCAGAAGTTGCAAATTGCTTCACCAAAATATTAGAGTACAGACCAGACTGATTTACTTTCAATGGATGTGAATTATTTCATACGTCTTCAACATGTGTGATTTTCTGCTATCAGTGAAAAAAAAAGTGTAATGTTCTCAGTTCCAAACAGTTGTTACTACATCACTTTTTATCCAGTTGTTTTTACTTTGCGGAATAGATTGGATTTGCACTGCATGAACTGTAAAAACATAATGCCTTTGTTACATTCAAAGAGGCTAAAAAGCAGTAAAAAATGGCCATTGAGGAAGCCAGATTTCTTAATATTCTCTGGCCAAACATAAGAGGACATATTACATAGTTTCTAGGGTTTAAGGAAAAACCTGCTTTAAGATATTTAAAAGTGAAAGTTATTTTACTGAAGTAGATTACTAAGCTTATTTTTTTCTTCGTCTGCTTTTTATCCACCAAATCAGCATAAACCATTAACCAACTCATTCCATCTTGCCCTACTCTTTGCTATCCCATGGAACTCACTCAAAAAGGATTAGTCTTAACCAGAGAAAAATCTGCAGCTAGCCATTCAGACGCAGAAACAATGTTATCAAAGTGCATCGACTGGTTTGAAATGCTAGAGGAGGCAAATGCAACACAAGTCCCACTTCTGCATAAAATACACAGAAAGCTTGAGACTCAAAGACATAGAAGGAGATGATAGATTATTTTATAGTAACCATTTCAATATATTTATGTACATTACTACTGTTATATTTGAGTTTATATTGATCTTTTTGTAAAATTAAATACAGTATGAATGTATTATTTACTTTTAAAGGATTTCATTTCATTTTTAAATGCATATTTACATACTTGCTCTGGCATTTTAAAAGGTTGCTGAAGGCCAAGGACATAGTCTAAAGCCATGTGGCTGTGGAAATCAAGGGGAAACTATCACATTATTATCCAAAGAAACTCATTATCGACGCCAAAAAACAAAGACCTTAAAAAAGAAGATAGCGACTTTTGAGGTAAAATGCTATAGAAAGATTCTCAGAATTGGATAAAGAAGAGAAGAAATGATGATATTTTAAAAGATCTTAAAATCAATGAGGTTTGGCTAATAAACGCAATTTTCCTTTAAAGCTGAAATATTTTGGCCATATCAAGTGACATGGCGAATTAGAAACAAAATAGTAGCAGAAGGCATGGTATCAGGAAGGAGGCTTAGGGGCAGACCAACATGAAGATGTGCAGAGGATATAAGTGACTCCTTAAATATTAATTTACATGACATTAGAGAGCTGGCGAAAGACTGAGTTTCTTTCAGGCAGACAATGATGACAGTGACTTTCTGCAAAGGACCTGCTACATGATGATGACAATACTTGTATGTGTGTGTGTTACAAATAGACTGAGGAAACTAAGATGCCAAAGAGAAACCCTGAGATAAACGTTGGTGAGAGGGGCCAAAGGCACTTGACTGGATTCCATCTATGATATCAAAGAGATTTCACAGGACGGAATGGGATGGAGGAAAAGACTGCCATCCTAGGTGACGTATAATGACATGAATGGATGATGATGATATGTGTTTTGAAAAAAAAAGGGGGCGGGGGTGGGCAAATATGTTTGTAAATACTTTAAAAGAAGAATTTATATGATGTCAGAGAAGTATTGTAAACTCTGGTGGAAAGTTCTGGTTGCTTGTCCACTTCTGGACTTCTGTCTTGATCCAGAACCTAAGTGTTGTATACACATCGGTTTTACAGATCTGGCTTATTTGTATGCAGACTGTTGATTTGGCTCCCTGCCTCTCAGGCAGATGTACTTCTACTTTGACAAAAGCACCCAGTTTCGACTCTTACAACATGCTTGTTGGGGAGGCAGTGGGTTTATTCTTGTTTTTCCAAAAAAAAAGGCCCCTGGAATGTGCAAAAATTAAAATTAGCTTGTTATTTTAACTGCCTGGCTAGCTGCTGTCCTCTGAAAGTACTGTGGCTACATACGGATGTGAGTCGTGGACTGTCTCTCAGTCCTTAAGAAAGTGAATAGGGGCTTTTGAGCTGAAATGCTATAGAAAGATTTTCAGAATATCTTTGACAAAGAAGATGAGAAATATTCTTAAAAGATCTGAACATCAACAAAGATTGGCTATTAAACAGCAACCTTTCTTGAAAGCTGAAATATTTTGGTCATATCAAGCGCCACTACGGTTTGGAAAAAATTATAGCAGAAGGCATGGTACCAGGAAAGAGGGGCAGGGGCTGATCAACACGAAGATGGGCACAGGATATAGGTGACTCCTTGAGTATGAAAGTGCATGAGGGGGGAGAACTGGCGAGAGACCGAGTTTCATTCAGGCAGACTGTGATGAGAGCGACGTTCTGCAAAGGACTTGCTACATGATGATGATGATGGCTAGCTACTGCTCTGAAACAACCCATGATTAAACCCATGAAATAACAAATACCAGATAAACATTTTAGTGGTGTTGAAGAGCAGGAGCTGGACTGAGCCGTTTAGCTCTTAGCTTTTAAATGTATCAGCCCTTGAAGTTGAAAATTTGTTAGCTTCTTAGTGAACATGAGTGAAGGTGTGTGCCAGATAAACTGTAAATATTCTTTAGAAGCCATAATTAAAAGGTCACATAACCAATGTCTTTATCAGCAGCTGTCCCCCGTGTGGGTTCCGAGGCCCCATTGTGGGGAAAACAAGAATAGACCCACTGCCTCCCCAAAAGCATGTCGTAAGAGTCGACTAATTGGGGAGCTTCCTTTGAAGTTGGAGTGCATCTGCCGGAGAGGCAAGGAACCAACAGTCTGTATTCAAGAGAATGAGATCTGTAAAACTGATGCACATGCAACACTCAGGTTTTGGAGCAGGACTGCAGTTCTGTAGTGGACGAGCAACCAGAACTTTCCGCCAGAGTGTACAGCTGGTGAACGCGAAGAAGAAGAAGAAGAAGATTAGCAGCTGTGTACTCACATATTTTTCTTTCTATATCCTCCTTCTTTATGAGTTACTGTATATTCCTATCTGTTACATGCATATTATTCTTTTTATAGTCCATAAAATGTGGCATTGGTAGTCAGGTCTCACTATAACCTCGTGTACTTTCAATCAACTCTGACACAGATGATCCTCCATGCCTGGATGTCAAACTGTCCAGCATCTTTTATCTTGATCTCCCTCTGCCTCTCTTTCCCTCCAATTTTCCAACTACTATGTACTTCAGTTTTTTCCTTGTCACCTTCTGACCAAAGAATGTAAAGTGTCTCATTTTGATGTGGGCAAACAGTTGTCTTTGTTTAATTAGTTTCTTTCAAGACATCTTTATTACTTTTTTTTTCTTCAAATCTGTTCTCAGTATTCTTATCATTGTCTATTAAAATCACATCTCCAAAGCTTCCAACTAATTGTTCACTAATCTACTAACTGTCCATAATTCACTTCTGTATATCAAAATATGATTTATTTGGTTTGAAAGATTTCTATTTTTCTTCTCAGTTGACAACAAAAGATTGCATAAAATATTCATTTTGTAAAATGCAGCCTGTGCTTGAGCTATTCTACATTTAATTTCTTGAATACAACTTCCATCTGATGTTATCAGGTACCTAAGTGCTTAAACATAACTTGCTTGAGGTTTGTCCCATTTACTGGGTGTCTTCGTGGCAAAGTGGTCAAGCCATTTACCTTGCGCTCTGAAGGTCGTGGGTTCATTTCATGGCTGCGCCCTTCAGTTCACAAGTGCAGTTTTTACGGAGATCCCTGGAGATCGTTGCCAGAGCTACAGAGTTTGTGCTCTGTGCGGTGCTCTTGGCAAGCGGCTAGCTGTTCTGCAGAGAGATACTGGGATAAAACCCGGTGCAATGGGGTCAATTCTCTCTTAACCCTTAACTTTAACCCATTTACTTTGATGTTGCATTTTGGAGGCACAGATTTCTTTGTAATTACCATAGCTTCTGTTTTTCTGCTGTTCAAACTAAGATCGTTGTTTTCACTTTCCGTTAAATTATATCCATAATTTCTTGCAGCTGTGTTTCATTTTCAGTGATCAAAACTATATTTTACAGTATATATCAGGTTGTTAACAATATGCCCACCAACCAATATATGCTATTCCACGAATGGATCTAATTATTATTTCACTGTACATGCATCAGACGAAGTCAATTCACATTCTGTGGGCATATCATAAGAAGAGGAAAACGAGCACATTGTAATAATAGAAAATAAAAGAAAAAAAATTGGGGAAAGGCAGGGCTGCCAAAATGTTTTTTTTTTTGGGGGGGGGGGGGGGGGGTGATCAAAATAAATTAAGCATCAGCTGTCTGCAACAGGAGTGGATTAGGCCTCTATTTACCTGGGACAGGAGTCGATTAGGCATTAATTGTCTGAGACAGGAGATTAAGTATCAATAGTCTGGGACAGGCGTAGATTAAACATCAACTGTTTGGAGAATAAGTTAAAGTAACCTGGTTTAT